ACTTGAATGTAATGTACGAGTAGGAAGTGAAGGTAAGGGAAGGAATGGGACAGAAAGGAAGCTAAGGGGATGAACCGCAGCAAACAGATACATCTTTGTTTGGTGAAACCCTGTTGGCCAACTTGGCGGTTGGGTGGGGGCGACTCAAATTCCACTTTTGCACCCATGCCAGGTCCACAAAAGGTGGCACCACCCAAAATGACGCATGGCGCCAACCAACGAATGACCTTTTGTGACCTGAGATTTGCTCCGCAGATAGAAAGCCAACAACACACAGATGTATCCACAAACAGAGACTTAGAGACATCTGTATTTACTTGCGCTTTTAATTATGTTATCTGTTTGATTGTGTTGCGCTGTTGGAGGAGCCTGTGACCTCAGATGTTCATTGATATATCTGCACTGCAGCTACATGTACTAATGAGAATAGAAGCCCTGCATCTTGAATGAATCTGGACACCTGCACACAAAGCCTTTCAAAAGGACTACGCAGATGCACTTTGCAATACCACGCATGCATGTAAACACACACACACACACACACACACACACACACACACACACACACACACACACACACACACACACACACACACACACTTGTGATCAGTAACACATTGCACCGGATCAAAGAGATTTTCCGAGCAATGGTGAACCGGCGGATGAAGTGTAGAAAAAGTACGGTTGCCAGACTGGAACTAAATGTCTTTCCACTTCACTTCCCCCCAGGTTTTGTGTCTCTTTTCCCCCTCCCTGCCTCCTCATCTCCATCTCCATCTCCTTGGCTCTTCTTGGCGAGAGAGGGCCGTTCTCTCTCTCCGTCGGGCACAAAGACGGTGGCATTGGCCCTCCATTTCTCTTTCATAACCTCTAAAAAACATTGCACCCATGCCCACTTGATCGCTGCCCACTTCTCCCTTGTGTCCGTCTTTCTCTGCCCATACATCCGTCCGTCTCTCTTTACAAACTCGGCCTCTTCTCTGCGCTGAAGGAGGAGCTTTTGAAGGGGAAAATGTAAAGTGTGCAAAGGAGAAAGAGAGGGTAAGAGGGAGAGTGTGCGGGAGAGAAATGGAGGGAGAAGGAGGGAAACAGCCGGAGGAATGGATGAACGTCAGGGACAGATAGAGAGTGGAGTGGGGGGGAGGGGGGGGGGCTTTTGACATGCTAATTTGCTTGCTGACTGCTTTAATCGCTCGCTCTTCCCATCGCGGGCTTCAAAGAGAGGATGCTTTTCAAAAAGATGATAGGAGCAGAGAGGAGGGAGACATTTTATCATCCTTTTAAAGAAGCTTTTTCTGACACCTCCACAGCTACGTGTCGCTGACGCCTGCTGACAACGAGCTAGCAGCACCATGTAAGCTGTCCTTACCCCACATTAACTCCTAATGGGATGCTAATGTCTTGGTTTATCTGCACAGTATACTGTTGGGAAGGTGCCTTGTATCTCCAGATGTGGTGATTTTGATTTAGTTATAACAACCCAGTAGATTATCTGAGATGCAATGCCACAAAGTTAAACATAGGGCTTTTTTCCAAAGTTGAAATACATGTGTTTTTAAACGACGGCAACAACGTATGAAAGTGTGTTTTTACTGTATCTGTCTTGTAGTAAATATCACTTATTGAATTGCAGCCAACCCTCCAAGTGAACACAAAATATTTCACCTGTTTTTATAGTTTTTCTCCTTCATTCCCCAAATGCACTGCACACTATGAGCAGTACTGTATTGCACTATAAACAACAACATAAACAAATATGTAAAAAAATATACTTTGAGTATAATTCTAGAAAACTAGAAAATCAAATAATTACTGCAATTTATTACAAATATTCACAAATATCAACCTAAAGACTTACAGCCACATCGTGTTTCATGACGAGTGGTCTGTCGCCATGGCAACGGCATTTGATGACATACTACGCTTAGATTCGTTGATGGCTGCATCGTTATCAAACCGGTGAAGTTCTGGGCTGTTTGCAGCCAACCCTTCAAGAAAACACAAAATACTTCACCTGTTTTTATAGTTTACTACAAACAACAACATAAAGAAATATGTAAAAATAGGCTAATAACAACTTTGAGTATAATTCGTTTTTCAATTAACAATTCAAACAACTAGAAAATCAAATAATTACTGCAATTTATTACAAATATTCACAAATATCAACTTCAAGAACTCAAACAACACGTGTTGCCACATAACTCCAGATCAGACCATCTGACGCCACTCAGAGCATAGTCAAACAAATCATTAAGTCTCCTATTGCACCTTTGAAGCTAAGATGATTCCACTTATTTCTAATGGAGTTCCTTCTGGCACGTTGAACCAGCGTAAGCTATTTGAAACGACGTGAAATAAAAACTCAACGCTCCAGAAAAACTCTTAAAAGGAGCTGTTTTTGTTGTGGTTTGAAACTCAAACAAAAGACAAATGACCTAAAGACGGATATTGGTGGCAGCGTGCTCATGCTCGATCACTTGTGGCTTCCTGCCCTGCACAGCGAGAGGAAAGGGAGACGGGTGACGAGTGTGGAGAACTGCAGGAAAAACATTTCATCACCTCGCCTAATGACGGCTGAATCACCGCCACCCCCCTTCTTCCCCGTCTCGACTCGTTCTAATCATTTCAGGAGCTAAACGAGAACAGAATACACAACAAAAAACAACGGCTTTGAGCAATTACTTCAGCGAGGAGAGGAGGGTGGCGGAGGATTACTCATGAGACATTTTGTCTTCTTTCTGTTGTTGTTCCCCGGCTCTCCGTCGGTAATAGATTCCTCGTCTCCATTCAGCGGCACAAAATGAGCCTCTCCGGTGGCAGGGAGAGTGATGAGTACATTCACCTCTATTCTGTGTGTGTGTGTGTGTGACGTGTGTGTGTGTCTGCTATACATATTTATGAATGTGTACCTGAGTCCATGACATGTTCTTTTTGTATGTGCATGCATTCACGACGGTCAATGTGGGTGCACACATGCATCGAGATCTTGTGCGATACATCTTTAATGTGCAATAAATACACTTTCTTTTCACAAATGTACCGTGCATAATCATCTGTATGTGCAAAACCAAATTGTGAAGGGTATCTCAATCCTTAATATGCACACTTACATGTTTACATTCTGCTTCTCAGCCATGGATGAGAACTTACGATACGATACGATAAAACTTTATTGGTCAGAACAAGTCTGGAAATTATGCATTCTGATTTTAGGTCCTGTCACCTGAGACGTTCCCCCTGTGTGTGTGTGTGTGTGTGTGTGTGTGTGTGTGTGTGTGTGTGTGTGTGTGTGTGTGTGTGTGGGAACAGTGATAGGTGATGATGTTCTGTGAGCTGCCTCCCCTCTCACACACTGAGGGTAATCTCATTATTCAGCCCACTTCCTGCTGTGCCGCCAGAGACAGGCTGACAGACACTAACCACCTCCACGGCCGGAGCAGAGAGGGGGAGAAACAGAAGGGCAGAAACTGCTCACAGAAAGTTGATGGGAAGATAAAAGAACATTCGAGATATGAGACAAGAGAAAGAAGCGCGTAAAGCAACAAACAAATGGACACGAAAGTCAGCAAAATATGCAAAAGTGTGTATTCAGAAGAGACAGAGGATGAGGAAGAGAGAAGGGGAGGGGGAGAGGAAGAGCAAGGAGACTGTGTGTTTAAAGCCATGGGAGACCGGCGGGCTAAATAGAATTACGTGGTGAATTTAGAAGGATGCTCCCAAGCGCATATTTAACACTGTCAACAGAGGGAGGGAGAGAGAGAGAGAGAGAGAGAGAGAGAGAGAGAGAGAGAGAGAAAGAGAGAGCCAGACACACACTGGGTGACGGGAGAGAGAAACTTCATCCGCAACATAAAACCTCTTAATCCAATATGAATGAGAGTTTCCAGCTCAGCAGAGACAGCTGGGAGTAAAGGAGAGTGCAGGGGGTCTTAGGTGAGAAAATGCTGCGATCACACACTGACATCACAATAAGGCCCTTAAGTCGTTATCCACACACACACACACACACACACACACACACACACACACACACACACACACACACACACACAAATGAACTTCTGTGTCCTTTAAAAATAAATATTCTGAACCAATTTAAGACATATAGTGTGAGCACACTCTCATACACTCTTAAACTCTTAAATAGGTAAGAAAAAAAACACACTTAAACCAAGAAACTCCCTTAAAACCCACCCTCCCTCCCGAAAAACCAGCTTTATCTAACTTTTTGGTCAACATGGACATAAAGTAGAGGAGCCCCTCTCCCACATTGGAGAATATTAACCAGCTCATCAGTTCTCTTGAAGACTGACAGCCCCTTTAACCCTTCAGTCCCCTGAAACTGACCCACACTGGCAGCGTCGAACCCAATGCATACTATCCAGTTTATAATTGAAAGTGAAATGCTAAGAAACTTTTCAGCAGTGTAATTGAAGCGAAGAGTGAACGGAGGAGGATGTGTTGGCACCGGTAGCTCAAACAAAGTAAAGCAGATGCAGTGATATGTGAACTAAATGGATGTATTGGCTTGAAAAGTATTACTGCCAGCTCCGAGGCCGGCAGGCACTACGAGACGACATCACTCATAAAATATCAACGTTTCCAAAATTCCTTTATTGGAAACTTTGGAAAAGCATTTCAACTGAAATGAAAGACGAGAGATAAGAAGTCTGTTTTCATTCTGCACGAACATTAGAGTTATGAGATCAGGGTTTTCTCTCGGATTTTTGGAAACAAAAGAGGTTGTTATAGTCGATTGCATCACAGAAAGGGGTCTCTTTGCCTCAACCCCAACCAGCCCCATGTGCCTCCCCACCCCCAAGCAGAGAACAGGACCCCAGCCCTAAATCACCAGACCTGTTTGTCATGCAATTAGTCCTCCGAGATAAAGGCTCCCTCATAAATTAAGAGAGGTGTAATGGTCCGGCCCCCCTGTTAATCACCCATGCCCAGCCTCTGACCCCTCACGGCTGACATGGTGGTGGGTGGCTGGTGGGCTACACCAATAAACCACGGTGGCAGAATTGGCCTCCGCTCGTCTGGCCAGCTGACAACTGCGTCTCCGCTCGGGCAAAATGCTGCATGTGTTCCACAAAGCAGCTGCCGAACACACCGAGGCGCTCTGCACACCACACAGATTATAATCCACCGTGTGCAATGAAACAAGCACGTTAAATGATTAGGGTATCAAAAATGCAATTTCTCATGAGAGCTTGACAGAAAAAAGAAAGATCTTGGCAGCGTCTAAAGGCAGTGTTTTAAATTCAGCAACATGCCGAAGCTCTATCATGCTCTTGATTTAAAAAATATCTGAAAGAAGGCACTCGGCACTGACCTTAAAACCTCATCAAACAGCTCGGTATAGGGTCTCGTCAAACTGAGACGGGAATAATGGTCCACGATGGTCTATTCCCCCCTACCAAATAGCACAGTTTCAACCCCATCTCACAGCTGTGTATTTCCACTGTTCTCAAACCTGCCCTGAATGATAAACTCTTTCTCTCGGCTTCTCTTCCTCTAAAGCTGTCTATCTCTTTGTTCCAGCTGGATTGGGAATAAGAGTTGGGGGGTGAAACACAGAGCAGTTGGAGCTCTACCTTCCTCTCCTGGTGTCACCAAATGCCTCCCATTGCACAACACCTCCCAGTGGGCCTGCTAATTACTCCTTTAACAAATCATCATCACCCAGACACTGGGGAGAAGACTTGGGAGAAGCGAGGAATAAAAAGTATCCAACCGAGTGCGAGGTTGGTGAATCTGTTTGGCTAAAGGACAAAGAGAACAAAACATTGGGGATAAAAACAAAGAGGGAGAGGATGGGGAGAAATTAAAGAGGGGGGGGGGCAGGAAGGGCTTTAAAAGAAGGGATAATCTATAAATAGAGAATTGAAAAAAGCCCCAAAAAGACAAATGTTGGTTCTCTCTACCTTGGCACTCTGCGTTGCGCTCCTCGTAACCAGGGTTACACAGGCAATTCCCAATGGGCACCAGCCACTCTCCGTCGGCCCCGCAGTACATCTTAGGAACCTCCTTCTCCTCCGAATTATCCACGCACGATCCACGAATTTCCACAAGCGACGAGGTATCGGCTCCAGTGATGGTGTCGGGAAACTGGGCCAAGTTACGCACCGCCAGGGGACACTTCTTGTAGAAGACCCTGACGGACACCAAAGCAATGCACGCTCCCACATCCTGGAAGGCCAAATAAAAGCCTTTCCGGCTCAAAGCGCCCACGTCTCGGACCTCCGTGTTCAGCTTCATGATTCGATCGCCGATGTCCACCTGAGTGAAGCTTTCGTCGGCGGCGATGGTGTCGATTTTGTCGAACTGGTTCTCGCGGATGTAGCGCTCCTTGTCGTTGTTGGACTCGTAGTAGTAGAGATTGAAGGTTTCCTTGCAGGTTCCCATGACCCCCGGGAGGCTGTTGCAGTCCCTCAGGGTGAACTTGATCTCGATGTAGACGCGCTGGGCCCCGCCTCGAGGGATCCAGTCTGTGCGGAGCCAGTTGTTCTGGTTTGGCTCCATGACGTTACACACCTGGTACGTCCGGATGGGAATGTTCTTTTCATCCATAATACTCACTTCCTCCCACTGGGGAAAAGGGACACAACAATACAAACAATGTTACAAGGATATTCTTGAAGCCTCAATCTGCAAATGAATTACTTTTGTTTGAAATGTAAACTCTCAGAAGACTAGTGGAACACTTTCAATGTGTCATTGTTAAAGGGTAAAAACCTCAGAGAAATATTAAGACTAATTAAAAATGACTGTGTAAATATCAAACACTACTGAGAGCCAGTCTATGCCAACGAGGAGGGATACTTTGCAAAAGAGCAGGCAAGAAAGATTAGTCAATATTGAGTCTCAGCGGAACAATTCATTGACGGCTAAACTTAATGTATATTTCATGAATGGCACCTGATAGACTTGTACGGTCCTAATATAGAATCATATAGATATTCATATTCATGGCTTCCCCTCTACTGCGAGAAAGGAAATGTATAATTAGCTATATGCATCTGTAAGTCCTACACTTCAATTAGTTTAGGAATAGTATACGCAATCATCTTTACACACACGAATAGAGCATGACTCAGGGAATCAGGAGAAAAAGGAAAACGGGATTATGTGGATGCAGATGGATTCAATGCTAATGATCTAATGTGTGCCTGCTTCACATGATGGACAGCCAGAGACACACATGTTCCCTGCTGATGTTAGTATGAAACCGTAGGAGAGGGAGGTAACCGCTGACGTGGGGGTGCATGGATTACGTTATCCAAGCTTATTTTTGCCAGGAGGGAATGTTTGTTTTACTTATGATAAAGTTCCCCTCTCGACAGATCACCGCGAGCAAGTCTTGAGCGGCTCAAAGCGGTGCCTTCCCTTAAGTTTTTCGCCGTGTGTTTTAAATAGAGCCTTTCACTGAGCTTGGCTGTAAACAAGATCCGACAGGCCTTTGGCTCGCACAGCTTCAACCATTTAGAGAAGTGTATAAAAGAAAAAGTCATAATGGAACAGTGGGAGATATGGGTTTACGGTGCCAGATTTGATTTGACGCCTTATCATAAACAATCTGGATTAAAGCCGTATTTCCCCAGAGGAGGGGTTTGGATAATGCTAAACATAGCTGCGGCTGTTTGATTCGAGAAACCGTCCATCATTCCCCGCCGTGCTCTCCTTCCTTTAGCCCCCCTTTTGTTGTGGAAATCAAGCGTCGCTGAGATAAGCCCGCACCTTTCCCCCCGATAGCAGGGAAAGAAGGAGAATAAAGCCAATTGGTGGTAATGAGAGGCTGAATGCAGGCTTGACTGGGATGCCAGGACCCTGTCAATCACTTGTTTGTGATAAAATGGCCGCGGGGAGGGAGGGAGGGAGGGAGGGTGG